TTTTTTTTTTTTATCATTATTGCAGTGTAAACCAGGTGGCACAAGAATATTTTATCACTGTCAACAAATCCCATAAACAACAAGGTGTTATTCCCAAGCAGAAACCTCCTGTGTTGAAAAATAAATCCAATGCTGAAGTGTAAAAAAATGGCAATTCCTCGAGTGTCCACTAGAGGCTGGCTTCAAAAGCAAGTCAATCCCTTTAAGGCCCATAGTATAATGGCAATTTGTACAGCATAAATATCTGTTTACACCCAGGCACAAAAAATGTTTTTGGTCTCTATTCATGAGAGATGTACAAGGTTTCATCATTATATAACGCATCTGTTTTATTTATATTAAGCCTTAAAGCTGGAGTCTGTAGCTTGTAAACACACAACTCAAATTGGCCCCTCCTCCTGGCGTCTTCTCCAGCAGAGCGCCCACTTAGTGTTGTTGTACTTGAAATTGGTCTTTTTGAAGGTCTTGTCTGGGTCTCAGACAGGGCGGACTCCGGATAAATCAAAACCACTGATCGTCTAATTCCGCGTCATTACTGTGATTAGAAAGAAAACAAATAACTTCAATTCATTCATAATTTGATTTTTATTCCCCGGTTACGGCCTTAACCTTCCCGTTGTTACGGTCTAGGTGAGTGGCACTCCCCCTGCACACAAGATGAGGATTATTCATTGACATTTATGGTCTTGGTCTTGTCTCGTCTCGCCCTGCCTTGGTCTCGGTCTTTACTCTGTCTTGATCCCTTAAGGTCTCGGTCTTGTCTTGGTCTTGGAGCACTTTAATCTCGGGTGTGCCTTGGTCTCGGTCAGTGTTGTCTTGAATACAAAAGTACGCCCACTAAAGGACTTTGTGTGTACTTTAACTTCTTGTACCTACACTGCAGGATACCTATTTGCTGTAATGGAAAAGCAAATAATTTAGCACCCTTGCACAAGCTAACCGCGGGTGTTTAGCACCTGCCAATCCAACAGAAATGAGGCCAACTCCACACCCAAACTCACCTGTGTGCTGTCATTGGCTGAGGGGAAACACATCCACTCCCCAACCAGAAACGTGCCAACGTTAACCAAAATATAAAACAACCAGTCAGAGGACAGGGTCTCTGCAGACACAGTCACCACCACACGTGTATAGAAGTGAAGTGAAGATTATTTATACTGTCTATGGCTATGGTAAGTCTTAAACATCTCTTTGACATTATAAGGTGTGTGATACCTGCTGTGGTCCATGATGCAGCAGTAGTAGATGGTGGTGCGGTTGTAGCAGGAAGCTGAGAAGCTGATGTGAGTCTGGAGATCGTGCTGAGCAGCCCTGCTGACATCAGAGCCAACAGGACAGGAACGTAAACCAGCTTCATCCTCATCCTCACAGGAACAGAGTCTCTGCAGTGAAGCGCCTGTGTCCTCTCAGTGTCTGCCTGTCGTCCCTCTTAATAGTGAACGCCAGCTCTGTTTATACTTTCGTTTCCTGTTTTGGACGTCAGGTTCCACTTCATGGTTCATTCAGAGAACAGAAAACTAAACAAAAGCTTGTCATTTGCGTTTACGTTTCCTCAAAGTAAAGAAGTTACTTCTTTTTTTTATTGCATAGGACTTTTATTAAGTTTCACACAGCAATTTACACATTTCTCATATTCTGCAAATTAAAAAAAAAAACAGCAGAGACTTCATCTTCACATTTCACTTACAGTATATCCCTGACTTTCTTTGTCTCTGGGCAGGCACAGCATGGCTTCAGTGACTTCTTCTGCTCAGTGTTCTGAGAGAGAGAGAGACTCCACGCTGGCAGCAGACAGGGTCAACATCTAGGCCTATCACTGATCCACAGCTGCCCAAAGTAATTTTCAGGATCTTTGTGCATGTGTGGAAACACCATTATTGATTAGATAAAGGTGTTGATCACCAGACTTTTTAAACTTGACAACGTAATGGACAACCTTTCTTTAAAAAATCTTTGACAGGCTCAAATTCTGGCTCCTTGACTAATAAAGAACAACTTGGGGTTAAGTGTGTTGCCCAAAGACACATCAGACCCCCGACCTTGAAGTTGAGAAACAACCAACCCTACCACTGAGCCACATTTGCCCTTAACAAATCCAAACAATCATATACACAAAAGTCTCAAATATTTTGGTTTCACAAATGCAATCTGCTCATGTTGAAATGAGAGTAGAGTTATTCGGTTTAATGTTCAAAAATGTAGTGTTTACGTTCAAGAAATATGTAAAATGCTCAGAAATAAATACATAAAACACACCTTTTGAGGTTTAATCTTTTGTTGAATTTTCAGTTTTTTATTGTTTTTAACTGATCACATTATAATGATAATGCACAGTTCATGGACTGTTGTGTAATCTGCTTAGATGTTGCTGTAATCGTCCACGTGAAGAAAACCTACAGAGAGGACGTGATGTCTCACTCTGCTGTGATTTCCCTGAAACACACCATAAACTTCTCTATATGTGTGTGCGTGTGTGTGTGTGTGTGTGTGTGTGTGTGTGTGTGTGTGTGTGTGTGTGTGTGTGTGTGTGTGTGTGTGTGTGTGTGTGTGTGTGTGTGTGGTAAAAGGGTTTGGGATGGTTATGCAGAGCGGGAGAACTTCCCTTTTCCCAGACACACACATACACCAAACACTGTCACAAATCACTTCAAACCTGAGGAACAAACACTAACCTCATGACAACGACTCGCTGTGTCAGCAATTCTCACCTTTCACTTCCTGAGAGTCTGCAAGTTTATGTCCTCCACTCTTTCTCACGTTTGAGTGACCTCCTCTTCTGAAATGGAATACCCAGAGCTTCCCTCATTTCAGGGTTAACTGACTCAGAGTTTGCACAAAACCTTTCAGAAACGGGCCCCTTGAGGGGCCAACTGACACACACACACACACACACACACACACACACACACACACACACACACACACACACACACATATTTGAAACACTTTAACGAGCGCTGAGACAAATTTATAAACGACTTGCCAGAAAAGTGTTCAATTCCAGGTTATCTCAGTTTTGGCCCGTTGTAAATTTGTGTCAGCGGTCGTTAAAATTCTACAATTCACTGAGCAGACGCTTTTATCCAAAGCGACGTACATCAGAGAGTAAGAACAACACGAGCAAGGATCTAGAAAAAAGGGAACAATGTCAGTAAGAGCAAACGATCAGCTTTGAGTCTGATTGGACACACAGGTGCTGACAGGAAGTGACCAGAGGCAAAGCACAACATTGACGTCAGTTCTTGAGAGCTCTAATCAGTATAGAAACCATCTTATAAGTCATCGTTATCAACAAAACCATCGTCACAACCATCATCATCAATAATATGGAGACCATCATCATTAAGTTAGTAGGTATTCATGAAAGAGCTGGGTCTTTAGCTTTTTCTTAAAGGTGCAGAGGGACTCTGCAGATCGAATGGAGTTTGGAAGTTAATTCCACCACCGGGGGGGCGACAGAGACTTAGGACCCTGTTGTGAAGGTTGGATCAGACACCTTTCATTGGCAGAGCGTAGTGGGCGGGAGGGAGTAAAAAAAAAAATGTCACATCTTGTAGCTATATTAGTTATTTAAATGTACTAGTTTTGTCCTCGGTTAAAGTGTTTTGCTCTTTTAATTTGTTTGAATAAAATGTGAAAATGTACATTTGTCTCAAGCTTAGTAAAAGTGTTGAACACTTTGTCATTTCGGTTTGCGCTTCTCGGCCACCGTAGTTTTTATAACACAGATTTTCTGAAGAGCTTGAAGCGGTTGCCTTGACATTAAAACGTTTAGGGTGAAATAAAACAGAAAGTATCTTCATCAGTAATTTGATGGGGAATATAAGGAAATGAAAAAGAAAGAAATGAAGGACCTTGAACTGAAACAAATAATCGATAAAGATTTTTGTGGAAAAACATGTGGTAAAAACATTAGTAAACGCTTATAAGAGTCTTCAAATCTGCTCGAAGAAGTTTAAGATTGTTATAAACTGTTCCTTTATAAGACTTTCAATCGACTTCAACATACTTCATAAACTACACACAGACTGGAGACAATGCACAGAAAACAAAACGTAATTTCTGCCAACAACAGCAAGAGACAGAGCAACACTTCCTGTTTACATCACCTGAGCAAAAGACACGGGAACCGAGGTCTGACTACCAAAATAAAACTAAAAAAAACATCCCGTAAGCACCAAGCACACTCAAAAGAAAGAAGAATAATTAAATATTTAGAGTAAACCTGCCATCAAAGCAGAAACTCCCACTGACGTATTTCTTCCAATGGTTGTCATTAATTAGTATTATCACATGACATGCTTCACATGTAGCCCCTCTTCGTTACCATTTCCTTTATTTAAAATGTTTAAACTGTCAAACAACACAATATATTTCAGACCGAAAATTATCAGATAAATATAAGATATGAAAGAAACTGGTACATACTACAATTAATAATAGAGAAGAAAATTTGTGTGTTTGGATCGTTCAATTTCTACAAAAACAAACATAAGATTAAAATATGTTGTAGTTCATATGGTGCAAAATATTCAATTTTGACAAATTTCAAAGAGGGTTTTGCATTGTGACTTATTTTCATCTAGGCTATTTATAATCTATTTATTATATCATCTTTTTTCATTTTTTCATTCTTTTGTTTGTTTGTTTGTATCACATTTTTGGATGTGCTGTATAAATGCAGCTTTGTTATTGTATAAAAAAGTTAATTTTGCCGACTTACCAGTAGTTATTTTATACAAAAAAAAAACTTATTATATTTTTAAAAAGAGAACTTAATCTTCAGTAAAAGCCTAGACATTTAATTTAAAAAATACTAAGGTATTAACTCAGCCATGACACACTTATTTGAAACATTAATATAATCAAATTACAAAAATAATGATGTTACAATATTTTAAATTTTTTCTTATATTCATGTTAGCAAATCTGAAAAGTAAATTAAAACGCAACAGTCACACTTTTATTTTGAAAAACACGAAGCGGAAGTAGTGTTCTCCAGCGTGTACAGTGTTGTTGTTGTTTTTCCTGCCAACGTTTCCGCTGCCACCGTGTACCGAGCTGACAGCAGCCGGTGTGACAGCATGGATAACACACACACACTCCCGCCGCTCTATATAAACACACATCCTCACACACACTCCGACACACACACGCACACACCGACAGACAGAGACAGCGCGAGACGTTCACCACGAGAGAGAACTTTGTACCGCAAACATGGGAGTCATCATCTCGAGCATCATCTCCAGGTTTACCTCTAGGATACCTGTCCGGATATTAATGGGTGAGACTTGATTTTAAATTAACCAATTATTCTTCTTAGTAATAGTAGCTGTCTCATTCATTCACAACTCTCTCTCTGTGTGTGTGTGTGTGTGTGTGTGTGTGTGTGTGTGTGTGTGTGTGTGTGTGTGTGTGTGTGTGTGTGTGTGTGTGTGTGTGTGTGTAGTGGGTCTGGATGCAGCAGGTAAAACCACTCTGCTGTACAAACTGAAGCTGGCTGAGGTCGTCACCACCATCCCAACTATCGGTGAGGCTCGATTTCATGTGTTGAATTTATTTCACAAATTTAATTGAACCCCCCATTAAAATCAGAAATTGATGTGTGTGTGTGTGTGTGTGTGTGTGTGTGTGTGTGTGTGTGTGTGTGTAGGTTTTAATGTGGAGACGGTGGAGTATAAGAACATCAGTTTCACAGTTTGGGATGTTGGTGGTCAGACGATCATCAGGCCTCTGTGGAGACATTACTTTGTGAACACACAGGTAAGAGGACTCAGACTACATCTATTGTTACAATGGGTTTTGTATAGGTGGCCTAGTGGTTAGTTCGCACACCCCATGTAAAGAGGTTACTGTCCTCAAAGCGAACAGCCGACATGTTGCTCCCTCACTGCATGTCATTTGTCACGCTCTCTCTCTCTCTGATTTCCGACGCTGTCCACTGTCCTGTCACTCTGATTGTAGGAGCCAGCCCTGCTCAGAACAGGCTGTTTCTGTGTCTGTAGCTTTAAATATGTAAATGAGCTGTGTCTGACCACGCCCCCTCTCTGGAAGGGCTTGGGTGTACTCTGGCTTTCTCGCTCCGTGTCCTATAGTTTACGGTGAGAAGGCAGACTCAGAGGGCAGAACAAACACCTAGCTGTGGGAGTGTCACCCACCTGGGGGAGGGGTTACTGCCCTTTGTGATGTCATGAAGGGAAAATTTCCAAACGGCCTGTTTGAGCACACATTTTCTGAAAAGTGGAGCAGGCAAAAGGTGGAGAGGATGGACTTTTCTCTTCTTTGGGGGATTGGTATACGGACGAGGGACACTTATTAGTGTTAGAGGAACTTGGTGAAATGGAGTTTGTAGAATATGTGACCTTTAACCCCTGTGCACTCAGTGAATAGATGTTGACAACCACAGTCATAGTATACCTCCTTTTGTCTTCAGGGTCTGATATTTGTTGTCGACAGTAACGACCCCGAGAGGATTAAAGAAGCTGCTGACGAGCTGCACAAGATGGTACACACACACACACACACACACACACACACACACACACACACACACACACACAAATAACTAATTAAGTTTATCTCGGGCTTTTCTCTTCCCAGCTGGAGGAGGACGAGCTGAGGGGCGTGGCCTTGCTGGTGTTTGCTAACAAACAGGATTTGCCGAGAGCCATGTCGGTCAGTGACATCACGGAGGCTCTCAGCCTATCAGCCGTCTCACAGCCGGTAAGTGTCCTTTGCATGCTCGCAGTCCCACAATGCAACGCAAGCCCACACTTTAGATATTCAAAAATATTGTTGAAAAGAAGATGACACTGATGTTGCTCTGCAGCTTTATAAACATTGTGTGCTATGAAGCGAGATCAGAGGGTAATCCACTCTGTTAGGCCTAAAGTCAGAGATCTCCTTGTCATGAAGCTGTCTCTCTTTTAAACCTTTCTAGATCGCCATGGTAACCGACTGTAAACTCATGAACCTGAGCGGTTGCAGGTTATGTCCAGAGTTAAGTTACAGCTTTGTACGAGCTGTAATGTCTCGTTGGTTTTCAGTAAAGCGCCGCACAACAGCCAGAGAGTAGGGAGAACTCTCTTGAGCAATCAGTAACAAAAGGGGCGCCTGTGGCCCAGTGGTTAGGTACATGCCCCAGGTACAGAGGCTGTAGTCATCGAAGAGGGCAGCCTGGGTTTGAAACTGACCTGTGGCTCCGTTCCCTACTCTCTGTCTCTCTCTGTCCCTGATATCCGACTGCATCCACTATCCCGCCTCTACAATAAAGGCTTAAAAAGCTCCGAAATAATGAATCTCAATGAGGAACACAACGAGCTGCAGCTAACCTCTTGTCTTTGTCCTCTGTGTGCCTGCGCAGTGGTTCGTCCAGGCGTCGTGTGCCGTCAGCGGTACAGGTCTGGCCGAGGGTCTGGACTGGCTCTCCAACCAGATCCAGTGATGTGACGCTGCGGTGTTCTTCAGGTGGGCTGCTATGACCTGAGCCGAGGAGGTACACCCAGGAGAAACCAGAAGGAACCACTTGTAGCTTTTTAACAAGTGTAACAGGCTCTAGAATAACGTATTATTGCCTTATGATAAATATATTGATTGCACTGGGGAGATATAATTATTGCACAACAATCACAATAGAATAAATTTAAGTAATGCACAAGAATGTATTTATTATATCCATATGGATTAATGTTGATTTATGTATTGCACTAAATGAAATATAATAATTGCACTAGAAAAAATACAAGCCAAGCCAGTATGTCCTCCTTCTAACTTTAGATTCTGGTCCTGAATGCTCTGGATTTGTTTGGGCCAGAGAAGGTAGGCGGTTTTAAACCCTCTCTACAATATTTAGAATCTGGACTGCAGTACCCATTTTAAACACTAGGTGTCAGAGTTACATATTGCTCCTTTAAAATATTTTTTTAAATGACTATTTTCACCTTCATGATACCTCATCTATTTTCTTTTAAACCCTCGTGATTTTGTAAATCTTCTGATTTATGTTGCTGCCTTCATGAAGCATTCTGTAACTCCAACTTGGAGTGTAACTGAAGACAATAAAGATTATTGTCAATAGTATCTGTTATAGAAAACCAGGTGGAAGTTTTTCCTGCAGACAAAGTTCACTTCTCTCATTTCCATCAACTGTTTTTTATCTGTTTACAATTATCACAGCACTGCAGCCGTTAAGATTGAATTATTTTATGATCTGTTTTCATGCATTTTGCACAAGAAATACATTTTTACTAATGTATATATATTATATGTCTTTCTGTTTTATTGGGTGAATTTGTGCTTAAAAACATAATTATTGATGCTGTTGATGAATTTGTTCTTCCATATTACAACAGCGTCCAGTTTTTGATCTTAATTTCATATTATTATGACAGCTGGGCAGTAATCAAATGGTAGAGATTAAAAAAATTAGCAAGAGCATTCCCAAAAGACAAAAACCAGAACATCGATGCTGTGCGAGTGCAAAATCCTGCAGGTTATCGAGTGTCCACTAGAGGCTGGCTCCAGGAACACAGGAAGTCACATACACATGACAGGCAAAAAAAATCAGTTTGTACAGCATAAATAAACATGTACATGCAGCCTGGTACAAAAAAACAAATAGGTCTGATTAGTTACTGTCACACACTGCACGGGGGTGAATTATTTTAAACGGCTCCGTTTTGAATTTATGAACGATACGAGTTAGGCGCTTATCCGACATGACTGACAGGTGGGTGAGATGAAACGGTTCATCAAGAGGCTTAAAACCCGCCTCAGCTCCATCTCTCATTCTGTCATTAGCTTGACTGAAAGTTAGACTGAGACAGGATTTCCAACATGGCGGCTGCTGCTGATGAGCCTCTGCAGCCCCCTGCAGGAAACAGATGGCAGACATCACTCAGGCTTCAAACATTCATATTTACAGTCTAGGTCTGAATAGGATGAATGGGTAGGTGTGTGTGTGTGTTTGTGCATAAGGTGATAACTGTAGAGGATGGGTGGGGTTGAGGACGAGGTGTTTGCAGCTGATGTAGAGGCAGGAACAGATGGCAGACATCACTCAGGCTTCAAACATTCATATTTACAGTCTAGGTCTGAATAGGATGAATGGGTAGGTGTGTGTGTGTGTTTGTGCATAAGGTGATAACTGTAGAGGATGGGTGGGGTTGAGGACGAGGTGTTTGCAGCTGATGTAGAGGTTTCAGACCGGAGCTTGACAGCAGATGGTATGCTGGAGGAATGGTTGAGAATGGTGATCTGATATCTTTCTGGTCAGGATCCATAGTGTCAGCCCCCAGACCGCTTTAGGAAAGAACCTTCCAGCTGCAGGGTCCAGCTAGCTGTGTGTGTGTACATGTCATTTTCTTTAGCTCAACAAGGTTTGTTTGATGTGTGAACATCAGCAGACTGACTCAGGCGGGTGGAGTTAGTGCTTTATTTATCACTGAAAAGCCTTTTTTTTTTTTATTATTCATGACACATGAAACAATTATCACTGAAACATATTTACAGTTAAACATCATCGATGCTCGTCTTGTATGTTTTTTGTTTCTTTTTAAATCGCTCTGCGTCCGTAAAGTGCAGCTCATTCAACACGAGTCCTCCAGCCGTTTACAGCGAGAAAAAACGTCGTCCCAAAGGAACAAATCAGAATCAAAATCAGTAACATCTGAAGTATTCAGAAACGTCTTAAGAGGCTGAATGAAGAGGTTTGTCTGCTGACCTTTAACAGACCCCTTCTTCTGATGACTCATTACGTTATCGCTCTACAGATAATCACCTCTGTAGATCACTCTGGAGAAAAGCAAACACATAAAAACCTATGATACATAAAAGGCCCCAAACAAACATGAAGCATGTAACAGAGAAACATGCAGGAGACGTTTTTATGAAACATGATCCTTTTCATAAATTAGATATTAATCTCCCTCAAAGTTCTCCACATGAATAAACGGTGTCAGACCAAATTATCAGAGACAACAACAAAAAAAAAAAGTTCAAGTATAAAACATAAAAGTCAGATCCTTCGATCAGGCAATGACACGTTTTCAGACTTTTAAAAAGGCCTTTTTTTTTTCTTATTCTAGTATTTTTTTTAACCATGCATTCTCATAAAAAGTATTCAGTCCCTTCTCAGTTTAATGAGCTAAATATCAGAACAGTGCTTCACTAATATCTATAAACCAGTATCAGTATTCTACTGCAGAATCTGAAGGAAAGGGGGACTCAATTTAGTGTCTGAAATGAGCTTCTCTTCCTAAGACTTGTGACCAATCACGTTAGAGTAAATTTTGTTTGTATGCTGGAGCAGCAATCAGCTGATCAAGTTTAAACTCTATAAACTCCACTCGTCCACTCGGGTTGCAAATCAAAAAGTAAACAACGACGAGTGGACAGGAAAGGGCCGACGTCTTGGCCTAAGTATCGGGGCTAAGTAGCCGCTGAGCCGTTCAGGATTCTCAATGATCAGCACATTGTGAATCATCTTGAATGTTCTCCTCTGGTAATTGTGCAGTTTAGACGCCGCCCTCTCTCTTTCACTCGCAGCAGCTTTAGGTTCAAATGTGACTGAAGACATTAAAGGGGATTGTTTTGTTATAAAAGACGTGGGATTGAAAAGTGTCAAAGTATCCAAAACTTTAAAGAACCAGAGTCCTGACGAGATGTAACCACACGATACATCCAAACGCCATGACACGGTGAATAGTATGTTACGCTCCGGAGACTGTGGAGAGTCTGAGATTTTTAAACGCAGTCTTAAAACTAATTTATTCAGTCTGGCTTTTATATAGTGCTTTATATAAATTAAAATCTTAACATTATTGTATCGTCTTTTTTTTTTAAATCTTACTACAATTTTAAATGTTTTCTCTCTATTAATCTTATTATCTTAATGCTTTTATGTGTCGTCTTTTTATTTTTTACATTTTTATTTTATGAAATTCTTATCAGTGTGCATTAGTCTCTCAGTGATTTTATAAACGACTTTTTCGTCAATAACTTTTCTGCACTCTTGCAAAGTATTTTGAACCGCAATTTAATTTGTCTGAAAGGTGCTGTATGAATAAAGTTTGATTTGAAAGACACGGGAACATTTGAGAACGTATAGAAGTCATTTTCTTAAGGATGAAAAGGTTTTGTGTTGAAAACTTCGGAGGAGTTGAGTTTAAACCCAGAGGTGCAGAATCCAGTCGACTGCAGAGCTACCTGTGCGCGCTGTGATTCGTTCATATCTAGTAAAGTTAAAGCATGACGCGATGTCGCCTTTTCAGTGGTTAGTTTCGCAAAAGCAGAAAGTTCTGTTTTCTTTTATGTTTTGCATGAACTTGCAGCAATGTCTGCAGACTTCCAACGAGGAAGGAGTGAAAGAAAAAAAACCTGTGTCCCCGTGCAGGATGCTTTCAGGAATGATGAAGAAAAACACATCACACAGGAAGGTTTTTCAAAATAAGACTTCCTGCTCTCTCGTTCAAACTCTCTTCTTGTATCTCACAGACGCTGCGATGTCACAGCACCTCCAGCCTCTCTGCCTTCTGTGTCTCCTCCCACATCTCCGTCACATCCTGGTTCTTTTTTTTCCCCACGGTGTTTTTTTCATCCTCTGCATTGCTGTTAGCTCTTTTTTTTATTTTTTTTTTATAAAACAAACTTAAAAACAGAAACTTACAGGTTAAAGTCGACGTGTGAAGCTGGTATAAAAAGCCGTTACCAGACGTTTCCACGCCTGCTGCCCTCCTCTTCTTATAGCGAGGGTGAGTTTAGTTTATCCTCTGTATTCAAAGTGACGAGCTCCACCACAACCTTCAAAGAGTCCAGCAGTGAGGGTGCACATGTTTTTCATTCCCAGGCAGCTGAGACGGGCGGGTGACTCCTGAGTTGTTGGATTTGACAGCAACAGCTGGGTTCTCCCTGGGGGGTTAAAACATGCGTCCCCCTCCTCTCGCTTTGTTAGGCTTCAGACTCGCCCCTCTTCTTACCCTCCTCCCCCCCGGCGTCGCTTTCCTCTGATTGGCTGTTGCTAAGCACAAGGAACTGTCCGTCAGAGGCAGGCGGGTTGGCAGGGCGACTCGAGGCGGCGATCAACCGACTCTGCTCCTCCAGATCCTGAACGGAGAAATGAGGATAAAGAATATTTAACTTCAATACAAAACACAGATTTTAAATAAAGACATAACATGATCTGCATTAAGAGATAGAGGACTAAACACTGAGGTAACAAGGACTACAGGAAGAGAAAAAGAGGACTACATAAAGAGGTTTTTGGGACTCAGAAGAAATAAAGGGGATTACGGTTGGCTACACTCGAGACCAGTTTAGGCTGGATTTAAGGCTTCTTATTGGTCACAACCAATTATTTTTCCAAATACTTTGAGGTGTCAGTACGATTATTTTACTGCTCCCGATCGAGTCAGAGCCTCACCAATCTCAAACAGGTTTGATATTTACAAATCCAGATCAGACTTCCTCTGATGAAATATTCTGGCAAAGGCCAATGATAGCGAGCAGACCGGGAAGCGTCAACAAACTCATGTTGCATACTTTTTTCAGCGAAACGTAAACACGACTGGAACTGCAAAGTACAGTATATAAGATTCAGCCACAGTCTTTTTTTTAAATGTTTTTTTTATTGTTGCTGCAATACAACACGCACGCCAAGACAGCCAGCTGACGAGGCTGATCATCCTCCATATTTGTTGTTTTCATTTGGGAGTTTCTGTGAGATCTTGTGTCTCAAATGTTTCGACTCGCTGTGAATCGTTTGGGTATAAAAAGTGAAGAAATGCTCTTGAATCTGAACTTTTTCCTTCTTCTTAATTTAGTTTGTCCAGGTGTCTTGTGATTTTGGGGCTTGTCAACACGCAAGGCAGGCAACTGCTTGGGGCCCCAGACCAGTAGGGGGGCCCCAGAGGGCTGACAATCTTTTGAATCACAGCAGCCCAAAATGTACAAATTTTGCAATGGCAGTAGGAACCCTCCCTAATGGGGCCCCACCTGACAACCTCCACTCTGGTTGCCCCGCTGAACGCTGGGCCCCCTAATTAACTTTTGCCTAGGGCCCCGACAGACTCTAGAATCGTTAAAGTGTTGGGGTTTAAATGTCACCTTCTCAATCTGTTTCTGTTTGCTCAGTTCTTCCTGCTGTTTCTCTTTGGCCTTGTCCTGCTCCTTCCTCTTCTCTGACGCCTTCCGGTCCTGCACGCACACCACAGGGAGAAGAAAACGTTCAGAATAAATCGACCTCTACAACAACATCTAGAGTTAAGAGTTAGCATTAGCATTCGCTCAAGTCAGTCTCACCATCTCAGAGTGGAAGGCTATCTGCTTGGCCAGACCGATGCTGTCACAGATCTGAAACACACAAAGAAGACAAACAAGTCAGAGCGGTGAAACAGATAAGAGGACGGTGAGACAAACAGGTCAACGCACACACACGACCTTCTCTCCGTCGTTGTTGGACTCGAAGATGTAGCATACGGCTCGCCCGCCTGCCTGCTGCAGAACGAACCCAAACAGCCTCTTGTTGTCCTGATGGGAGGCGGACTGGATCACAGTGGAGAGAGGGAACTGCAGGAGGAGAACAGGAGGGAGGGACGGAGAGGATAAAATATGTGACACATTTCTGAGAATCAAACCGTCAGCAGGAGAGCAGAAGTGATCTTACCCTGAGCCGTGTGACTTGTGTCTGAGGATCAATGAGCCTGAAAAGAAAAAAAAACAGACACAGTCAAACGCTGAGTTCAGACCGTATGTGAAGGGAATTGTAGCGTTCCTGTTGCTCTTTGTCAGTTTTACAGTGGGATCAGAGACCCTCGCCCCCGCCCCCTGTGGACAAAATACGTAGTGTAAAGTATTTATAATCCTTGAACAGTCACTACCAGGATCAGGTCGATCAAATCAAGTATTTATTTGAGAAATAGGAAAAATACAAGATGGATTAAAGGATTCCTTTGCTTAAAACATGAATGAACAAATCTGGATCATTCTTCAAAATGTTTGAACAAACAGGACCTGGGTGTTTATAATTCTGCTGTAACGCACAATGCGACCTCTAGAAGGAGCTACTGTGACTGGAAAGAATACACAAACATACACCAGAATCCCTGTCTCATGAAGCCTGATAAACCTTAACACACACACACACACACACACAGGTTCATACTTGAGGCAGTCGCAGGTGACCAGCAGGTGGGACTCGGTCATCCTGAAGATGTTGTGGATGGCTCGGGCTGCCAGGATCTGTCTCATGGTCTCAGAGATGATGTCAGGTGACTCTGTGTTCTTCACCTCCATGGAGCCGAGGAAGCGAACGATGAAGAGCTGGTGGAGGATCGAGTCTGAACACACACACACACACACACACACACACACACACACACACACACACACACACACACACACACACACACACAAACATCAGAGGAATTAATAAAATAAATACACGTGTCCGCACATGTGCTTTATTATGTACATTATTGTCACCCACATGGGTCAATGTTATTTCAATCCTCAGGAACTTATATTGAAACACTTATTCATACAATTCAATACAAAGTGAAATGTGCCAGTTTTCGCTAGTAAAATGGTCTCAGTGTTGCCCCATGTGGCTGCTGAGGGAAGTAACACTCACTACCTACAGTAGAGGCTTTCTGCCCCCAAACCACAAGGGGGCAGTAGTGAAAGCATGAAAAGATAAGAAAGCCTGAGGTAGAAACAGACTGTACCTTCACCGTCCTCTGATGTGCTGTCTCCAGACTCTCCAAAGGGATTACTCCTTCTGTGAACACACACAAACAAACAATAAGAGAAAAGTAATAAAACACTAACAAGCAGATGCTTCAATAAAGGAAAACTGCAGTGTGAACCAAACCCTTAAAACAAGAGGGGGAACAAACGCACGCCTGCACGCCTACCTGCCGGACTGTGCTGCCGCCTTGCTCTGTCCTGAGTTCTCCTCGCTGACAGGGGAAATGATGTCAAACTGGATGGGTGTTTCCGGGGCAACCAGGGCATCCAATGAGAGCACAGAGAGGGCGGGCGATGGCTCGGAGCCCACAGAGCTGATGCTGCCTGCTCGACCCACTCGCCCTTTACTGGAGGGAGAGAGAGAAAGGGAGAGAGAGGGAGAGAGAGAGAGAGTGAGGGATGGTCGTACAGGTGGAGGTCCGACTCTTCCTTCCTCTAACCAATGAATTCCCCGTCTCTGCCGTCACACCTGGTAGAAGTACTCGCTAAACGCACACGCTCACCTGCCGGGTCTCATGCTCTCGTGTCTCTGCTGGAAGGACGGCGACGGCGTCACGGCTTCAAGAGCCGATTGGTTCACTCTGGCTGCAATCTCCTGCCAATAAGAGGACTACTGTCAGCATCAAAAAGACTTGAAATGCATTTTTCTACACTTCTCTTTTCATAAAAAAAATGAGTTTTTTTACTGAAGATATTTTGAGAACTATTTTTACTTAAAAATAAAAGACAATTTGGAAGCCTAAAAAGATCTGTGCCAGACCATTTAAGAGTGTTTCAGTCAAACAGCTCACTCCTAAGTTATATGAATAAACCCTCTGGTTTCTTAATGCAGTATTTTAAATGTATGTATCACAATAAGACATCATCATTGATCAAAGGTCAGCCCTTTGTTGCTCCCCTCCTCTGTCTTCAATTCTTCCCCATCATTTCTCTACTGCGGGCTCCCTAAAGAAGGTCGTACATTTTAACATAATACTTTGAATCCCTTCCCGAGACACACGAGAGGTTCGGGTGTTGATTGAAGCTGGACTAAACCTGAAGATAGCTGCCAGACGTTTCCCTATGATCTGTGAGTGCAGGTGAATAAAGGACACAGACCTCTGCGTTCTCACTCAGGTAGATGCGTTTGGAGATGTTGTTGATGGTGGAGATCCACTGGTGGAAGAAGAAGCAGCAGCAGAGAGAGGTGGGATGAGGACACTGACATTACAAACAGAGCAGGACTACATGACGGAAAAAATGTTTTACCTCCTCGCAGTCCTTCCTGCTCTCCGCCTGCAGCGTCACCACTCTGACACAAGAAAAAAAAAAAAAGGTTTAAGTCTCAGGAACAAAAAGAAATCCACACGAGCAGATTTTAACTCCAAGAAGTGAAAATGTAGATTCAGACAAACTGTAGCCTTCTCACTTTTTGCCATCGAAGGAGGTGACCTGGAAGCAGAAGCGGCGGTCATCGCTGTCGACCGCCATGACGGAGGAGTTGTCGAGGTCGGTGACCAGCCCGCCTGCCACCTCGCCGCGGCCCTGCTGCATCAGGTTACCGCCCTGCGTGAAGAAGTACTGACGCTCCCAGGACGACGACACCAGCCCCGTCTTACTGAGAGACACACACAAGAGCTTCTTTAACTCCTCGGGGGAAATGACACAAAAAAACAAGCCATCGCCGTCTTGTTTTTATCATCGACTAAAGCCTGACAACGATAAAGGCCTCTGGGATCAATGGAAAACTTCAGCAACTAAAAGGAGTTTTAAGACCTGAAGTTGTAGCTACATAAGCTTTGTGAGATCACGCACTAGTGTCGAGGGTGAATCAGAGGTAGCCAAACCCTGAAGTGTACCCTCATGTGTCACCTATTTGGCTCTGAATGGGACCTTTATTCACAAAATAAACATCATGCTGTATTAAAGAACACTTCAAACTAGAGATTAAATCCTTAAACTTTTTTTTTTTTTTTAAAGTGTTTAATGAGGGAATAAATCAGCTGAAAAGTTGGGTCACTTTCTTATCCGCTTGAACAAGTACTCCCCCCGGTGGCCATTTGAAAGAATACAGGACAAAGGTGCTTATGCATTATTCCATGTACTGATTATAAGCATTCAAATATTTGGTGTGTCCTACTTGCGGATGTACAGGTAGCCCTGTTTCCTGGTCAGGCTGCGACACACAGGCGAGTGGGCGGGGTCAGGGTCACACGGTGCATACAGCGGGTCGCATGATGTCTCCATATCCTGGATGGTCTGCTGCATCTGAGTGACCTCCTCCTCCATCTCCCGACGCACACTGAAGACAAACACACACACACAAACGCACTGAATACACACATGAACTGGTCCAATGTTTCTCTCATTGCCGACGTATTTGTAAATATGACTTTTCTCTCTTTTTCAAAGTAAAAACAGAAAAGTATTTTAGATCTTGAGCAGAAAAGACAAGTGAAAAAAAAAAATGTAGACACATTTTGTTGAAAAGGACTCGAGCTGGGGTTCATACTTTTGGACGCTGGTTCCGATGGTTCCCAGGAATTCCTCCCACTGCTGGGTTAGATTCTCTGAACCAAGCTTAAAGAAGCTGATCTGCATAGAACAAAACCAGATAACACACATCAGCAGGTTTGTTAGAAGCTCTTAATAGTAGATTTTTTAAATGTTTTAGGTGTGTGTGTGTGTGTGTGTCTGTGTGTGTGTGTACCTGGGCCTGCATGTAGCCCAGCAGTGGCTCCAGCAGAGCCGTCTTCTTCTTGTACTGCAGTGTGTTGAGCGAGCAGAAGTAGTGCATCATGGTCTGGTGCTGTTTCTTGCGCGAGGTGTAGACGTCCTCCACAGCCTCCGCCCGCAACTACAACACACGAGGACTCTGCTCTTATTTCAGGGAAAACATCCAACTGCCAAGTCAATTGAATTGTGAAAACGATCATATCCCAGTCAGGAAGCTGCTGGTCTGAATCCACTTCTCTGAAAGTCGACCTGCAGTAATACGAGCCTTACAGCTGTTAATGCATCGCTCAACAATCACTGCCTGAAACTCCAAAAGAAATCAGGCCTGTGCAAGGTAGTTCCAACACTGATTGGAAGGAAATCAATCGGATAAATATGAAACTGAAGTGAGCAATGAAGCCGACAGGAATTAAGTTAAGAGACAGCAGCTGCCATGTTGGAAATGCAGTCTCATCCTAACTTTCAGTCAACCTAACAACAGGCTGACAGCTGGAGCTGAGGCGGGTCTTAAGCTTCCTGACAAACCGCTACACCGCGCCCGCCTGTCAATCAGGTCAGCTACACGCCTTATTGTGAATAACTCTTATCCTTCATCAAATCAAAACTGATGAGTCATCAAAACATTCACCCCCCCCCGTACAGTGTGTGCCGATCGAGACATGAGATAATCAGACCTATTTGGTTTTTTGAACCAGGCTGTAAACATGTTAATCTCTGCTGTAAAAACATGATTTTTAGAATGGGTGTGTATGTGACTTCCTGTGTGTCTGCAGCCGGCCTCTAGTGGACACTCCAGGAACTGCAGGATTTCGCCCTTCTGCATCGGCTTCATTTTTTAACAGCGGCGTTTGCTGCTTGGATGAAAACTTGTAAATTTAGAAGTCCATAAGTTCAAACAGCCTTAAATCAATTATTATAAATTTAGCAAATAAACTAAAGGCGATTACTCCTTTCAAGTTAACCCCGCCCCTTTCTAATCCTCTGTCTTCATTTAATTTCTGTTTTTTTTTTTTTTTGTCAGATCACAGCGGTTTGACAGAACATGCAAAAAGCGAAAATGTGTCAACGACCGCCTGAACAAATAATTTACATCTTAGTCTTTTGTAGACTTTTCAACCCTCGACCTAAATAACTCAGTAAAATAAAGTTCAGGAGCTCTTAGCATGTTTTAAACAGAAGTCAACACAGAGGGTTAGCATTTAAATAAAGTGTAGAAGAAGAAGAGAGGTGTGTTACCTTGTCATTGTCTCTCCTCTTTGAGAGGCGGCTGTATCTGTTGATGGCTGTGTCATGATCTGCACACAGAGATGGAGACATGCCTCTTCATTTGTTCATTTCTGGCAGTTAGCTTGTGTTAGCGCGGGTAGCTTGCAGTGAAGGTACAAGCCGCAAACGTATACACTACGTCCTGCGGTGAGGGTGAACTTCTCGGGGTGATGAGCCCAAGACGAGGACTTAAGTTTGATTGTTGTGTTTACAAACTGCACCAAAAAAAATGCTACTGACTCCACCTTTAAGCTTAGCCAAACCTCGACACATGTGTTTCATGTGGAAGAAAAATATTTTCTATTGAATGTAGAGACAGTGTGGAGCCACTTTTAATCAACTCATTACATCTTTTATGTCTTTAACTGCTTGCCGTGTGTTTGAGTTTCTTTTGTTGATGTCTTTTAGGAGCTTTTGTCAAGAAACACTGATGTTGTTCTATCTGCACATTTTATTGTATATCTACATTTTGATGCGTCACGTTTCCTTCTCAGTTTATCCTGTCAGAGTTAGCGGATAAGACTCACCATCACTTGATATTTGGAAGACTTCTTTCAGAGTGAGGATCTCTGCAAAAGAGGAGAAAAAGACACACAGTTATATTGATGGTTTAATTGGGCCGTCTCTGTTCACGAAGTGTGACGACATCAGAGGATCTATCATAGCTTGTCTTAGATTAGCGCCCATTAGGAGCTGTGGCCACTTTCCCGCATGTCTTTCCCCACTCTCTATTTCTCCCTGATTTCTGACTCCACTGTCCTGTCCCTCTGATGAAGGCACAAAAAGCTCAGCCACATTATCTAGGTGTGTTAGTCGGACTTTGACTCGGAAATGTGACTCAGTACGATTTGAGTTTGACTAACATGTTTACAAACTGGGTGTTTCAGCGAGCTTTCATCGTGTTCAGGAAAGCGGTGCATGTGGAGAGCAAAAGAGACACAATGCATCAGCTATATGACAATCCTGAAAATCACCTGCAGTCATCTGTTAATTGTGTTCCCATGGACTCGAGTATCCCGTATTTAGGTATCCCATTTTTTGTGTTTGTGCACGTAAACATCATATCAGTCCTTAGCCTGGCAAATGGAAACAAACTATGACAACGCATGAAAAAGAAAGTCTTTGACTTTTCATGCGTTGTCTTTGACAACAGTTGCAGGGTTGATGGTTAGCGTTCTGCGTGTGTGTGTGTGTGTTTCCTACCCTTCAGGTCTCTCTCTTTAAACTGAGTGATGGGAAACATCATGGCGTCTGCAAGCTGGGTGGACAAGACTGCATGACAGGAACTCAGCTAGGAGGAAAGAGAAAGAGAGAGAGAGAGAGAGAGAGAGATTTAAGATTTAAGATTTAAGAGAGGCTCTCTTTAATGACATTGATAATAAATATCATGACTTTATCCAACTCCGTGATCCTCAGAAGCTGCTCTATCTATGTGGAGAGAAAAGTCTGTGTGCAGTATGAGCTGTTCAATATGTTCATGATTGTCACATACACCTTAAAAATGATCATACTATTGATAATGTCTTTTATTTATATTTGTTGTATACTGTATATATTATCATCATTTGTTGATCAAATTTTTTTTCTGTACTGCTTTGGCAACATGGATTGTTGATCTGTCATGCCAATAAAGCTCATTTGAATTGAATTGAATTGAGAGAAAGAGAGGGACGTTAAAAGGATATCCTGACCATGAGCCAGCTGAAGAGCAACAATGTGGGTTTTTTTTTAATCTTCTTTTTAAAAGGTAGTTGTAGTTTATTTAAAGTGAAGTCAGAAACGATCAGATCAAACTTTCTTTATTTAAACCTCTTGGAGGACAAAAGTGACTTCAGAGGTCCGATGTGTTTGATGTCTCTTACCTCATCGATGACTTTTGCAAACTGCTGCAGGGTTGAGCTCATCACCTCATCGTCGCCCCCTAGAGGAAAGCGCTGCACACAACAGCCAAAACAAGTCATGAACAGATTAGATTGAGTCACGTTCAGAAAACATACGCACAACATCAAAACCTGTTAGATCCCAAGATTCCTGGTCATTAAACGTAAGATAGCGAAACGATGATCCAAACGTGCAACAAGAGGAGCGGTCAGGGGTGTGATGGAGTCGTGGTTTAGTGTCACACTGCTGGTTTCTGATTAGATGGCTTTGTTTGGACTTTGCCTACCTGTTTGTCGTACTCTTTGAGCAGTCTGGAGGTCAGGTGTGTCGCAGCACTCAGCTCATTCTGAGAGAAAAATTCAATGTAGACAGCACCGTGAAAAACAGGGCAAACTTCTCTTATCAACTCTATGTGGTAACGTTCATATCTGATCTGTCTATACATGCCGATGCCAGAGGCGCTACACCTGTTCATCATATGTGTGTACCTGTGCGTCGTAAATCCGGTGCATGGCCTGATAGAGCTGTGTGCAGTAGTTGGAGATGGCCGCAGTGTCCTCCTCAAACACTCCCAGAAGAGAGCGCGTCTGCAACAACAACAACAACAAAAAAAAACAGTAAAAATGATTCTGGTTTCCATAAAAAACAGCAGCCATGAGTGATCCATTGTGTGACTGGCAAAAGCCAAACACACACCTATCTATGTAAATTCACAACTTCTGCATGCTTACAAAGTACTCCTCTGTTTTTTGGTGCATCTGTAAAGTAACGGTTAAGTTGACACACCCAGGAATTTAATCTGTTAATGTTGATCTACAGCAGTGGTTCTCATCTGGAGGGTTGTGGAGCCGGTTTCAGGGGGTCCTGAATGTGTGCATGCCTGGACGACACTCTATCAACAAGTCTGTGAATGACTTTTAAAACATGTTTGTTTTCTTCTTCTTTGGTCTGTCAGGTGTTTTGTGTCTTCAAATCTGAAGTACTGAGTTTTGTATTTAAGCCTTAGCCATCAGCGTCTTTGGAAGGAAAACTTTCTTCAGTACTGATTGGATTATTGATGCCTTTTTGTGTACCGGTAGATTGAGGCACCTGCAGGAAAAACCCCTCTCACACAGGCAGGATGTGGCAAAAGGAAGGAGTGTTGCTCTCGTCCTTACCCACTGTTGTTCAGGTGAAGCCGAGAGCCGAGATATGACTCGTCATATTTTCTGTCTGTGTTTTAGTGGTTGTGACGCCTGGTGTTTTCAGCCTAACATTTACCTGGAAGCACGTTCATTTATTACACTTTGAACGGTTTTCTTACATGGAACCTTTTTTATTGCACATCACACTGTCTCTCTTACAAAGCAAGCAAAATACAAAAATAACTACATTTCTGATTGTACGATTCAAATGTTGATTTCTCATGTTTTCTTTGTTTTTTTTAAAGGTCGAAATGTTTATTTTTGGGCTTATTATGACTTCATTTAGAGATTGGCATGTGGATATTGTCAGAAATGGAGGAGAGAGAAAGAGAGTGGGGAATGACATGCGGGAGAGGAGCCACAGGTTGGATTCAAAATCCAGACCACCCGCACGTGCACCAACCACTAGCCCCCCCCCCCCCCCAGTTGCCCCTTCATTGCTCATATTTAAGCCGACATAAATGTACTGCATCCGCTTAAATAACTTCCTGTATTTTTTTCACATTGCAGGACACTGTCTACCCTCATTACAGCTCAGCCCTGATGAGCTATCAGTGCAATGAGAGCTGCTCTGTAAAGCAGGAGGAAACACTTTCAAGGCTCCTATAACCAACTTGATGTACAAAATGTATCTGTTGCAAAAACTCAAGAAGATTCTCAGAACTCCAGTACAAGGCTGCGCACGAATCCCAGTCACAGCTCTTGCGATACCAGTCCTCCCTGTGGAAACACTGGTATAGCTGTGTTGTATAGTGTTGATGGTGCTTTCTTTGTTTTTTTGTTTTGTTTTTTCATTTGATGGGACTCCTGAGTGAGTGACTGGTGATGATGAATATTTTTACACGCTGGCCACGCCCCAATCAGTGATGTCATAGCAGGTGTTTCGCCCTGAATCAGCTGCAGTAAATACAACATCAGTGTGTGGGCTTCTCTCTGCAGCAGCGTATTGCTCAGTGTGACTTTCAAATCTAACAATAGCATAAAGCAGGAGGGTGACACAAGATTACCAGATATCACTGAAAGGAGGAGGAGGACGAGGAGGGAGGGGGGAGGAAGTACGGACGAGTTGCTAAGGAAGTATCCGGCTAACTCTCAATTTAACCACCTCATTCCTGTGCAAATCCAACATGAATGTTTTGACACTGTTGATCTGGCATCTTGACAGAAACTCTCCCACCAGCTGTTCGGCTCGTGTGTCTCACTTTGATGCCACTTCGCAGCTGCAGGTGGATCCAACCCGAACTGTCTTGTCTTAGCTTTGATTAGCAGCAGGGCCCTTTTAGTGGTATCTTGGTACCTCTTCGCTGAGCCTACAAAGACATTTAGCCTAGCTGTACGAGATGCTAACATTAGCATGCTAGCGATTCAGTTTCCAGTAAAGCGAGGTGTTACCTGCGGACTGTCCTCCAGCGTCTCCTCTATCGGCAGCTTCTCTATCCCGGGCATCGCTGCTGCTGCTGATCGGTGCGAAATCACGACACAAATCGCACAACAAAATCGGTCCGACAACTCCCACTCAAGATTTCGTCTTGGCTACACGAATTCACAACACCCCGAAAAACCGCTCCGCCTGGATCCGCATGCCCCGCCCCTCACCTTGATTTTGATTCGATGTGGCGACCTTCCGCGATTTCGATTGGTTTCTTAGTTAAAGGGAAACAGTGCCATTTTGGCTCTGACACGGAGCGCCCTTTCCTCGCACTCGTGTACAGTTCAGCGCCGTAATGGCAGCCGGCTTTTCGTTTGCAGGTGAGAAAAGCATCAAAAAGCCTGTAAAACCATGCATTGATAAGTTTGAATATTTTTTTTTAAGTATTTCTCAATGATATAAATTCTTGAACTCAGCAATTAATCACTTCTTTAGAGGCAGGAACCAGATAATGTTTGACATTTTTGTATTCTGGTTATACAATTTTGACATTATCTCATGCATCTATAAGATGTTACATTCTGTTCATTCTTTTCAGATTTGGCTATTACTGACCGTGTTTCACTTTATTATTTCATACATTTAATATTTTTATCATTTTGGTGTAAACAGCCGTTCGATACCTGAACAACTTTCCATGTGTCTTTTTTATTAAAAGCTCCTGTTAAGAGTTTTTTATGTTTGTGAAACAAACCAAAAGTAATCCTGATGCTACACATGACACTTAAAAACCAATCCAGACCAGAAGAAACCATATTTATTAATTCAATATAGCTGTTAATGTGCCTGTAACCCCTGCAGCAGGGTAGGTGTCAGAAGAGATGTTTAGCAGCATGGTGCAGAAACAGCCGACTAAAAAAAATTCCATGCCAAAGATTTATTGCAAATAGACATTTTAAAAATAAACTTCTTATGGAATGTGCAGGACAAGTTCAGCAAACAGATGAATCCTAGTTTGTCCACAGTTTGTCAATTCATTTACCCTAACCCTTAATGTCACTGATAACAACAGCACAGGAGATAGAAACACTAAGATTATGAGTAAAATTGTGAAATTTACTATCAACGTTGTTAAACATTTAGACAACATAAACTGTAGAATATAAAAAGAAATTTGGCAGAAGCGAGTCCATCCTTCTTGAATGTATGCAGCACTTGAGTCCACGTTTCAAATTTCCCCAAGAGGACAATGATGTATATGGTATGCCATGCTATGCTATCGTAATGTAGCATCCATCCAAAGGTGCATTGACCTACTCTCAGTGATGCTGTTGTAAAAATAGGCTTAAATAATTTGTATCCATAATATCAATAACAAAAAAACAGATTTATAAAATAGAATAAGATAAAAAGGCATCTCTTTTGCAGATACAATATTTTTATTTATTTTAAAATTACATTCGATGTTAAGATGTCATGCCACTGTGGGCTGAGGGTCAGATGGATCCTCCTGCAGCTTCCTCCTCAGTGGGGGACATCAGGGACGATGTGGCTCACCACGAGGGAACAAGTTCTCGGCCAAGCTGTTGAGCCCCTGCAGCACGCAGCAGCTGAGTCCGCTGCGGGACATCTCGGTAGGAGCGGCGCCGAACCACGTACCAGACGCCTGGTTGAATCGCTCCACAGTTTGCGTCGTGCCGTAACCATTGTATCCTCCGACCACATAGAGGTGATCATCCACCACCTCGATGCCAAAGTAGCTGCGGGGGTTGTGCATGGGCGGCACAAATTGCCAGCTGTTGGTCAGAGGGTTGTAGGACTCAGCTGTGCGCCTGTGCTCGGAGCGATTTGATATGCCACCAACCTATGACAGACAAACGTGGAATAGTGAGTCATGTGTTTTAGGAGAGTGGAAAAAAACTCTGAAGGATAACCCGTGAAAGAGCAAGTACACCAAAGCTTATCATAAATTAAATATGAGGCCAGAGGACGTAAAATGAGATACATGGACTCTAGGGACCAGTAGAAAAAATATTTAAAAATGGATTATAAGTGATGTAAAGTGTATAAGACCCATGCATCTTCCTAATTTACTCAATACTTCATTGTGGTACTTAGTTTCCATTGTGACCACTGGTAGAAAACATATCCTTGAACAGTCACCAGTAATCCCCCAGTAACAGCCAAGTCAACACTAACATGATACAGCCAAACATCTGAGATCAATGTCACACACTTACTGCATAGATTTGGTCCCTGTAGGCAATGACCCCCAGGCCATTGCGACAGTTCCTCATGGCGGAGATCCTGGTCCACACGTTGGATTCTGGGTCGTAGCATTCAGCCGAGGTGAGACTGTGACGCCCGTTAAATCCTCCACAAATGTACATCTGCACACGGGTTTGGGACAGACATTGAGATTGTGTACTTTTCAAAAACAAAAGGAAAAAGTCAGTCTCCAAGGAAAGTAATGGTTTCATGCTTCCAGGCAGTTATTTTACATCTCTACATATTGAAAGTTTGAATGCCAGTTTCTCAGTTGTTTCATGTTTGTTCTTGCTCCACTCACCTTGCCCTTTAAGGTTGCGGCACTGGCTCCAGACCTCTTTGAAGTCATGGGTGCCATTACGGTCCACTGGTCATTCTCAGGTCTGTAACACTCAACGGAATTGAAGTGAAGTTGACCGTCGAAGCCCCCCATTGCATAGATGCACCCGTTCAACACAGTGACGCATACGTAGCAGCGGGATTGGTTCATAGGTGCCACGTGGTGCCAGGTGTAGGTCAAGAGGTCGAGCTTCTGCACCGAATTCAAAAAGGTCTCGTGGTCGCAGCCTCCGATTAAGTAAACAAAGTTGTTTAGGATAGCAGCGCCATGATGAGCTCGCCAGATCCCCTCAGTGCTCACATTGACCCAGCAGTCAGCCCGGCAGTCGTACGCCTCGATGTTAGTCCCAGGGATCATGCCATCTTTTCCTCCAGTGACCAATAAGATGGCAGGGGGCATGCGTGGGCGGCTCAGCGGGTTGCTGTAGGCAGCACTGGTCAACCCTTGGACCATGATTTCTGTGAAAGCGATCACTGCATCGGTGATGATTGGTACACATTCGATGCTTTTCATCACCAACTCGTTTTCGATGACATTGTTCTGGAGGTCACTTTCTGTCATCAAGCCGAGCCGCACCTGGAAGAATGTACAGAGACAGTAGTTAGAAACCATCTAAATTAGAATAGATATACTTTATATTCCCAGAGGGGAAACATGCAGAAAAAACACAGAGCTACTTACAATAAAACAAACACAATACAAGACAGGACAGGACAACAGTAAAAATACATCAAGGGAGTAAAAAAGTACAATTCAATTAAGAGATTTCAATATGCACGGTGTAAAAAAGTATATTTATATATGAATAAAAGACTAAAGGCTAATATAATTCTAAAAAAAAAAGTTAAATACTGTGCATGTACTGGATCAACAGGGGTCCAGTTCAGCTGTTAACTTGTTCAGTAGTCTGACTGATGGAAGGAAAAAGAGCTCAAAATGTTTACACTAAAAAGATGCCTGAAGGTTAAATAGATCCTGATGCCAGTCTTGTGTCTGTGTAATAAGTAGAGCGTGAGTGTGTAGTCTGGAGGTGATTAGCCTAGCTTAGCATGAAGGCTGGAAGCGGAGAATTCGGAGTCTGGCTCTTAACAATTGTTCAAAGAAAGGTCTCTTAAACCCAATACATCCGTCCATTATTACACTCCTCAGTCGCCAATTTCCCCACAAGAACAAACTGTATCGTATCCAATCGTGTTGAATCTTATCCTGTTGTTTTGTCATATTAGTGGCTCCCTCAACACCACTGTGCAGCCCAGTGCATGCCGACTACTCCAGTTGAAATGTTATGTAGTTACCTTTGGTAGAAGCGCAGAGATGAGACCTCGTCTTTGCTCAGGCTGGTGGTTGATCCAGCGGAGGACGGCCTCAAACACTGTGTTTTCTGACTTCACATTCAAGTGATCGTTCTTGATGATATCCACCAGCTGCTGCACAGAGAGGTCCGGGAGCTCCTGTGAGACGCTCATGATATCCTCAAAGTGTTGCAGGACGTAGAGGAAGACCTTGTCCCTGAGCTCAGGGCAGTGGTAGAAGTCCACCACTCTCAGGATGCAGAGGCAGTTCATCGCACACAGCTGGTCTTCAATGTAGAAGCAGCATTTCTGGACCATCCCCGGGATCAAGAACTGGTCCGCGGCAGCCAAAGCTTCCACCACATTATCATTTGTCAGGGGCAGGCTGTGGTTGTAGGCGTAATTGATGATGAGGAACATCATATCCTGCGACACTCCAGGGAGGGTGTACACTGGTTTCTCTGAGGTCGCCCAGGCACCAGTGAAGAGAGTGCTGTGGGATTAGGATGAGAAGAAATCAGGGTTTAAGAAAGTACATTTTAAAGCACATAACACAGCTGTAACGATTCTAGAGTCTGTTGGGGCCCAAAGCGAAAAACTCACAGGGGGCCCCCCTCTAACCAATCGTTACTGCCATTATGTTTTAAATAGTCTGAATGGTGACTTGCATTTCCAAACTTAATTTTCTATGACAAATTGTGACACTTTCACTGTCAGATCGGGTCCTCTTGGGGAAGTTTCCTACGGTGATTTCAATTTTTTTTACATGTCTGGCCACTGCTACGGTTCTTTGATAGCCTGTTGGTGCCCCCTATTGGCCTGGGGCCCCAAGCAGTTGCCTGCCTTGCCTGTTGACAAGCAGCGCCTCTGTATATTCTAAATGGGACCAAAGTTTAGTAAGAGTGAGATATGTTGTAAAAAGCCTGAGACCAACATTTGAGACCTTAAATTTGTTGGTTCAGCGGTTCAAAATCTATCTTGTTTGAGACCAATTCTTCAAAGACCTTGATTGTAATGCTCAACATTTCCATTTACCAATGAGTCTTCTTGGATGTCAGACTATACCCCGAGGTTTGCAAATAGATAAATCACAAGAATGAGGATTAAATCAAGATGCAAACTGCTTTACCAAACACATCATTACCACCACCGAAAACAAATCACAAGTAGATAGGCTAAGGTTTTAAAGTTGTTTACCACTGCACTAAAAACACATTCATTAAAAACAATAATGTAAGACTATGTTGTGTTGGTTTTTAGATCTGTCCCCCGTGCTCATTTTGAGAGCGTGCATCTGTTTAGCAGTATGTGCAAACAGTTTGATGCTAGAGTCTTTGCTCTGCAGAGATAACGTACTCACCGAAAATACGAGCTGCAGCCACAGAGGATAATCTTGTGGGCGTTGAACTCGACGGCGCCCACCTTGATCACGACATCGCACAGTTTCCCATACAAACGGAGTTCAGACAGGGTGGCAGATGTCATGTTGCTGACACTGTGCTCCATTTCAAGTCGCTGAGCGTTCATAGTGGCCAACGCTTCTCCTTGTTCACTAATTTTTCCAAAATTCAAACTTTCTTCCACTTTGCTGGGAGGTTTTGCAAGGTGTGTGTGCTTCTTCAGCAGGCAGTTTGTAAAGTGATTTGACTCTGAACCCCCTTTGAGAAGTAACTTCAAGAATCCAGAATGCTTCATTGTGACTTCACAGGTTCTGGACCTGGAGTCCCTGTGACACCAATAGAACCAACTGATTCAAATGTAAAAAACAGACTGTTTAAAAGATGCACCTAGCCAACACAAGTCCTATAGATATACACAAGACTGCATTTACTATCAATTATATTATTATTGATTATTATAACTGTTGTTATTTTTAGCATTATTTGATGTTCTGGCAATATTCTAACACAACACCGTACCAGAGAAATAAACGGACTGAAGTCTGCTTAAGTGGGCCAGTTTTTGGTCGATTTGACCCTGAAATAAGCGCCATGCATAAGATCTAATGATATTGTTATAAGCGGTATAGTCCTCCAAGCAGGCAGCCCCTGGTTCAAGTCCAACCTGTGGCTCCTTTCCTGCACATCATTCCCCATTCTCTCAAGGTCAAGGTCAACGTAGACTTTATAATAATGTCTACCCACTTATACCCAAAATGTCCTTCTTAACAGTATTTTCAAAGGGAATGCTCTGTGCTTTTTAAGATTCAAGACTTTTATTTGTCACATGTTCATAGAGATGTGCAGTGAAATGTAAAGACTGTTCTGCAAGGCCATGCAATAAACACTCAAATTACTAATACACATAAATACAGTAATAATTAGGTAAAAATTTCTCCTGCAGCGCTGTGTACAGTGTGTTCATGGAGGGGAGGTTGGAGCCAATGCTTCTCTCTGCAAGTCTTGATGACCCGTTAAAGCGATTTCCTCTTAGCCAGTGTGGTCTGCCAGAACCACGCGGTGATTCCACTGGTGAGGACGAGTCCTCTATAGGCCTAGTTGAGGGGCTGACGTCCAAGTCCGGTCTTCTTCAGTAGCCTGATGAAGCAGTTACAATTACTCAACACCACTTCATTTATAAAGCACTTTTCATACATAACAGCATCGCAAAAGAAAAGACAGACCGGAAATTAAAACAGACACAGACATCAAACTAAAAACCTAAAAAAAAGACTAAAACATGAACGACAGTAATAACTTTCTACCACTAGAGGGTGCACATCGTCAGGTTTGAAAACCAGTGGTGAAGTTACTCTTAAAAAGTCCTGGACAAAAACATGAACAGAAAATGAATAACCATGGACAGTAATGTACTCGTATGGGTCTAATTTTACAACATTAGCCGTAGAATCGAGTGTGTGTGTGTGTGTGTGGGGGGGGGGTCGAAACACCTGAAGGAGCTGGGTGCCCACCTGATGACTGCAGTGATGTTGCCTCCCTTTTGTTTGCCCTTATCGACGTTGTTTCCTCCTCTCTTGATCCTTGCTTGTGTTCTTACTCTCTGATGTTCGTTGCTTTGGATAAATCTGATCAATAAATTGTAGAATTTTAGAATTGTTGACTCTAAATTGTGAGCAGAACATAATAAATATTTAAAAAAAAATTTGGGACTTCATGAATCAGGGTCCTGTAATTAGGCCTAGTTTGATTTACCTTTCATTGAGTAATTGATTGTTTGTTGTAGTTTTTGTTAATTCACCTTTAAACAAATGATTTATGATTTGTTTGAAACCTTTTTGATAAAAAAATAAATAAAATCTAATTTAATGATGATTTTAATTTTGTTTTTACTTTCTTAACTCCTCAGGGAAGTTGTTTCAGGTCTTCTTATCCCTCAAAAGGCCCTTTGAAGAAATAAGGACCGGATGTTCTCACCTTCACAGTCCACACAAAGACAGAGCACACACACACACACACACACACACACACACACACACACACACCTCCCTCTCGCTCCTCTCCTCTCTCTCACTCTCAGAGTTGTTCAGACTTGAGGGAGGAATGGCGGCCCCTCGGAGTTTCCTCCTCTCTCTCTCCAGTTTATTGATGTTTTTGTACTTTTCTTGTGGATCTACGACTTCGGGAAACAAAAGAGCAAACCAGGAAAGATGCGGCTACAAGGTAAAACCAAAAAAACACTCTTTATAACGCGTCGTTTTTACGACATTAAAAGCTGCTGCTGCTGCTGCGTCGACTCAAGTCTCCAAAAAGTTCAGTTATTGGAGAATGTTTTCTATTTCCTCCCTGTCCTATCTGTGTTAGTGAACATTAAGAGGTGACATTAGCTCAAGTTTGAAGATAGAGTTCAGTACAAGCCGTCGGAGTGTTTTTGAAGCCAGGTTGCGTCAGTCACGTTACCTTTCTTACCTGTCGCTTTGATATTTACCTCTCCAGGTTCGCCCCATTTTTCACTTCACGTTCCCAGCCTTGCTGCACGTCAAAAAGTGTGAATTTAAAGAAAAAAAAACCTTTTACTGTAAACAATCAGATCATATCTAATGGGATTCATACCTGATGTGAATAAGTCAAGCATCCTTTTAAATTCGGCACGCATGTAATCTACCATAGAAGTCCATTAAAAAGTGCACCTCTCCCTCAACGAGAAGACAGCATGTAACTGAACTCACGAATAAGCACGATTGAGGCTACAACAGTGCATTTTGAGTACTGGATCTTTGCAGGATTTAAAGGTGACTCCAAAGAGCTCATGTTTATGTATTCTTTGGCTTTGAAAACGTGAATTCATAGTAGGGATGTAACGATTCACTCAACTCACGATACGATTCTCTCACGATTTAATTCACAAAATGAGACTGTAGACAAATGATGACTGTAAAAGATTCCTTTATGGGCTGCAAACCCGCTTGTCAGTTTAGTTTTTCTTTTCTCTCAACAATTGGAGGTGATTGGAGCTTCTTGTTGTGGTGTCGATTAAATGCTGCATCATGTTGGTTGTTCTATTTTTGTAGTTCTCTGTCTTGTAATATTTGCGCTCAGTTTTTGTCCCTTATCTTCTCACCTCTTTCATTTTCAGTCTTGGTGAAGCCAAAATGCTTCCACACCTCCGATTTAAAAGACGGTGGTGCGTCCTCAATTTCTAAATCTTGCTCTGCAGCTGCTGACACTCACCATGTTATTGAGATTAATTTTTCAGAGTACCGATGTGACACCTTTTAATCAATTCATCACGATTTTACGATTAATCGTTACATTCCTAGACATCTTTAAAAGGATTGTATGAAATGCTTTATTATCCATTAAGAAAGCAAAGTTGTAAAACATGTCCCTGAAGCATCTCTGTCCTGTCTGGAGGAGTAGAGGTTCCTCACTCTGTTCACAGTTTTTATTGAAGTCCTCTTTATGTTGTAATCCTGACACCTTCAAGTTATTTTTTGTTGCATTCGATATAATCAGCAAACGAGATGTGACACTAAATTAAACCCCTAGAGGGTTTTTTTCTGCAGTCATAGCAAAAGGAGAGTCAAATGTTTTCAGCAGAAATTATAGGAGGGAATAACTTGTCCTTTATGATGAACGACTTCATTTCAAAAAGATGAAAAACTTCCCCTTCTTTCCATCCGAATTTTGTGGTTTTGGGGGAATTTGCATAGTAAAGCCGGTTTCCTGCCTTTTGTGTGTGTGTGTGTGTAGTCTGTTAAAAACATTTGATGTGGAAAACATGAATACAGCACCTCCTCCACACGGCTCTTCTGCTTTTGCACTTCACAGCAGCTTTGTTTTTCTGGACATGAAAACCACCACAAAGCTTTGCGTCTTTTCATCCGAGTTCAGTCCAGAATATGTGCACTTTGACAAACATCTCAAAATGAAACACACAGGTGATGCAACTTGTTTTCTTTAAGAGGACAGGTGTGCTTATTTTTGTCTTGAATCTTTCTTTTCTCAAACTTCAGTGTGGGATTCAGACGTTCTCAAACACTCACTGGACGAGACATTTTAGACTCCTGCACCATTTTAATCCCTCATTAATCTCTACAAAATCAAAATAAAGATGCAGACTCTGGACACAGAGGTCTGGATTTTCAGCATGCATGGGACGTGTTCTGGTTTCCATTTGAAGAACATTTATTGTATTAAACAATCAGCAGGATTTGGTGTATGCAGAAAAGCTCCAATCAGCAGTAATGTGATGATGATTTGTATGTCTTCATGGACTGATGTCTGAGGAAAAGTGCAGCTAACACTCCATTATGGGTCGAACATTTCAACTTGAGTCACAAATCTTCACGACGCTGTCACATGAGTCTATCGGCGTTTAGATTCCCAGACTGCCTGAAACGCATCAGAAATCGAACATTTTGAAAGTTGTTTTCTGCTCCTCTTGAAGACAAACCTCACAAAGCTTCTGACAAATCTGCATCATGATGTCGTTAGTTTGGCAAACTCAAGTTCCCATTAATTTGTGAGTAAATGAAGCGAGTAGTGCGTTCACACTTGCATGCAGTTGCCAGAAGTTTTCATGGTGAGCTGCCAGACCCCCCCCCCCCCCCCCATCCTAGTATTTCTTCTGCATGAAGACCGAGTGGGCTGATGTTGGAACGCAGCAGGATGTAATCAAGAGAATTCACCTCGAGCCAATGGGAAGGGGTGGTGACCTTCAGTCCCTATGACGGCTGCACGAGCATAGAGTGTTTGCACGTTTGTTGTTCTCCACTCTTCATCAAAGCGTCTTTTGCAGAATTTTTGCTATCTTTTTACGTCATCTCTCATCTCAGGAGACCCCCCCCCATCTGACCGGGATAGTCTCCCGCTGTGAGGTGCGTGTTTGAACAACCAGATCGGTGGGGTTTCAGGGTCAGTCCTCCTAAATATTCACTTTAGACTTTCAAGGATTCTAAATGTGAAAACGGCTGATTCACACCATCATACTGGTGTAGTTTGAGTAGTTCACTTATGATTAGGTTTGAAATTTAGAATACAAACAAACAAAAAAAATATGAAGAATGACTAACAGAACTGGCACATAAAGCAAAGCAATAATTTATCCATTGACCAGTGGAGTTATCGCTTCATCTTTAAATTAATAAAAAAAATGTGAAAAAGAAAGTTTTACGCCCTGATGAGAAGATTTCTGTGTTAAAAACCTGAAGGAGTTGATTTTTTTTTCATCTTTGTGATGTGGGAAGATGAATTATCTGATCCTCTCTGAGTGTGAGTGAGTGTGTGTGTGTGTGTGTGCACATGCTCTACAGGTTTTAATTTTCCTGTGTTGATAGATGACTCCTGCCTACCTTTGATGCACTGTGCTCTGTTTGACTCAGTGTGTGTGTGTGTGTGTGTGTGTGTGTGTGTGTGTGTGTGTGTGTGTGTGTGTGTGTGTGTGTGTGTGTGTGTGTGTGTGTGTGTGTGTGTGTGTGTGTGTGTGTGTGTGTGTGTGTGTGTGTGTGTGTGTGTGTGTGTGTGTGTGTGTGTGTGTGTGTGTGTGTATTATCCTGGTTTCCTCTTTCTGGCTTTGAAGTGTTTTCTACAGGAAGCTTCACACTGTTTACTCTGCTGAAACATTCCTTCCTGCAACCCCCCTCCAACCCCACCCCCAAACACACACACACACACACACACACACACACACATTGCAACCCCCCCTCCCCTCTTGCATCCCCCTCTCTTTTCAGAAACACACACACATCAAAGGCTGCAGGATGGGGGTGTGAGGGTCTGCTATTCTACAGGTGTGAGGTTATTAGAGCCCTCTGTGTGTGTGTGTGTGCGTGTGTGCGTGTGTGTGTGTGTGGCCTGTTAAAGCTCTGCTCGTTTTACATGTCTGCCTTTAGTTTGTAAATGTCCCTGAGAAGGCTGTGAATCTTTGAACAGTCATTAATAATCAGCAGCTCTTTTGGTAATTTATTGATTGAGTAACTAGAATACTAAACATTTTTTTCTTGTTTTGTTCTTGTGTCGTTGTTTTGATTTTCCTGAGCTGTTTTCGCACATGCACAAACCTCCTGAGAATAGTATGATTAAGATTTCAAGGTTTCACTGCATGTGTGAACGCAAACGACCAACACCTTGATCTTGGCCTAACTTCATCCAGATTTATTCCTGACAGCCTCTTTGCAAAATGTCATCCCTCTGTTGCTTAGTCCGCCATATTTTTTACAACTGGTCTTGGCTTCCGAGACACCCCAGCCCCCCTTTCGATCGGGAAAACATGTCACAAAATCAACTGTTAGTACGTATTTTCATGGATTCGTTCATCTTGATAATTTTGTGGACATATCTTTAAATTGTGTCAGCCATCTCACAGTAATTCTACTTTTGGGTCTGTGAAGCTGTAACCTTAGATGGGTGAAGCACCTAAGTAGTAGCAGATCTATAAATGGATAGGAGCCAACTATATGTTGTCAGCAACTGTTTGCTAGACAGAGAGTCTACATCTGATACGTATACAAATCAGTGTCATGTCATCTTTATTGTTTTATAGTGATGTACCCAAATGGAAAGGAATTTGTGGGCTGTACCTTCTAGCAGAATATAAGCAACACTGTGTGATGAAGACTTTGCCATTTTGCCATTTTGCCAATGATTGTCAATGATTGTGAGATCTTGGTCAGCATGGGTCAGCGATGGTCTGCACTTTGTCAGCCATGTGTGTTGTGTTTCTGTGTTGTCTGACCATGGCTGAATAAATCTAAGATGATCCACAGTCTGTTTCACGATTTCATAATTGTCCATCTCATACAGAAATAACCCCCACCTAACATCAACTAAGGAGGCTTTCAGGGGCAGTCAGTCCACCTGTTATCTGTGAAGTGACTTGAGCTTGTATATTTCTTTTCTAGTCTTCTGACTACTCAAAGCGCTTTTACACACACTCACACCCACACCTTCACACACTGTGTCTTTCCTAAGGACACATCAGACATATAGCTGCAGGAGCTGGGGATCGAACCCCCGACCTTCCGCTGACTCTACCAACTGAGCCACAGCCGCCCTGCCGTATGGGGTTTCTTCATCCTGTTTTCGTCATCTGAGTGGTCACAGTTTTCTTCTAGGAGCCGCTTGTTGAACTGTATTGTTTTTTTTGCTGCCTCAAGTAAATGTTTTCCCAGAAATCTTCTCCTTCCTTGTATTTCCTCCGCACTGTTCGCGCTCTACCTCAG